CCTATCGTTTCCTTCTTTTTCCTTTTACAGCTGACCTAACTTTAAAAATCCCTTTTTATTAGAGTATCTTTAATCTCTCTAGCAAGTCTAAGTTCGCGTTGTGCTTTATCTTTTCCTACCATTGAAACAGTCTTAGATTCTGCCTTTAGTATCTCAGTTCTTTAAAAAAAAAATCCCCTCCATCCTGAACTCCCCTCTCCTTTAGTGCCTCTGTCCATGAAATTTCAGCCAATAATTCCCTAAATTTACAAAAATTGGCTTTCTTGAAGTCTAGAATGCGTGTGCAATTACACTTGGCTTCCCCTTCCCAGTATATAACAAATTCCAAGAGGGTGTGGTCTCCCCCAGCTAAGGCTCCCACCACTTCAACCTCATTAATAAGATCCGCCTTGTTAGTTATGATTAGATCTAAAATAGCTGCTCCCCTTGTTGCCTCTTCCACCTTCTGGACCATGAAATTGTCTGCAAGGCCAGTAAGGAGCAATTCCCCAAGAGACGGATGGGCTACTTTAAGGGGGACGACTCCCTGCAAAACCACCCTTTCCAGTGTGATCGATCGCACATGCACCTTTTCCACTATATGTAACCCTTTCCAGTGATCGCACATGCACCTTTTCCACTATATGTCTGCACCCTCAGCTTGGTTGCACTCAAGCTCTCAAAAAGTATTAATGGAATAATTTCTGACTAGGTTTTGCTTTGTCCTTGAAGTAGAAGATAAGGAGCTCCCTAGGGCACAGAATTAATCAACTCTCTATTCTTTCATCTGTGTCACTGCTAAAGATATTGAACAACATGGGACCCAGAACAAAACCCTGGGGCGCCCCACTCGTCACCTCTTTCCAGGACGAAGTCCCCTAGAGAATAATCACAAAAATAACCCATTTTTTTCTAACTCAAATTGGAATTCTTTCAGTTTTGTCTCCCTCCCCCATTTTTTAGTCTGTGAGGACCCAGAGAATCCCAAGGACAGAAAATTGCACACTCTGATCTAACGGCATTGCTCAGCTTTGTGTGATAAGGATACTGCCAGTCAGTGTAGCTAGTACTAAGCTAGGTAGATCAACATTATGACTGGATATAAGCCAGATGTGTTTTTAGAGAGCACACAATATGGCCCTCAGAATCAAAAGACATTTGTTTGTAAGGTCTGAACAAACAGATGACGACAATTTCCAAAAGAAAAGGCTAAGATACTATGCCAGAAGAATGCTGTTATGAAAATCTGTGTGCATAAGTTATGCAAGTCATTTTCAGAGTTTGCTGGCTAATCATCTGTGCATTCAGCAGCATGATCAAAGGGAATCAAGCATGCAATGGACAATGGACAAAATACCTACTACTATACGTATGTGTGACTAGTTTACGTGATCACACAATGCAACAGGATCCTGACTTTTTTTTACCAACTGAAACTTTACAAAATACTGTGCAAGCTTCCAAGTTCTGCAGAACTCCTCATCAGACAAGATGTATTATGAACTAATTTTTAAATACCCAATGAATCGTTCTGAAGAATTCTAAAGCTTGCAAGATCCTTTGTAACCTCTTAGTGACTATAATAAAAGTACAGTATTACACTAACATAGATTTTAACATTTTCTTGAGGAACGTTTTGCTTAGCCAGCTTTGCTACTTTTATTTTTTCTGCATTGTTTCTAAGAAGATTAAGTAACTGATGGAAATTAAGTTTCATGTATTTTAAGTGCCATCAAAGCACACCTGACATATGACAACCTCCATACAGCTTTCAAGGTACATTAGATATTTAAGGTGTGATTTTATGACTGTCATCCCCCCCCCCAGCGAGTTTCTATGCAATGATTCAGGCGATGATTAGAACCCACATTTCCTGCATCTGACACTATCCAATATACCTTACTACTGGCTCAAAATCAATAGTCAGAGTTGTTCTAGAAAGGCTTACTCAAACCAACCTGATCTCAGATTTTCTGAGAAAAGTAAAAGTTAGACGATAAAAATTCATTTCTGATTAAATACGTTTACAGTCTATATCAGACAAGCCCACTTATGCTGAAGTAGGTGAATTGAAGAGAACATCCCACTGAAGTCAGTAGAATTAAACTGGCTTAAATCCAGGCACAGGTTAAATTAATTAGCAATAAGTCATGAGCTTCTTTAGGTCTGCAACACCAGACTTACAACAAATAGTGAATGGGCTTAAAGGGAACAAAATCATACTATGACATCACATTTACAGTGGGGTCTTGACTTAAGAACGGCTCGAGTTAAGAACATTTTGACTTAAGAACCACTCTCATAGGAAAATATTGACTTGACTTACATACTTAGATTTGAGTTAAGAACTGAAAAAAAACATGTGGGAGGCAGGGAAAGTGCAAAATGTGAACTTTCAGTTAACTGTTGGGCAGTGAAAAGGGTGCCTGTCTGCTTCCTCATCCTCCCAGCGTTTAGAGAGTGGATTGGGAGGCTTCAGACTGCCTGGTACTGCCTGGACTGTATTTTCCCTGCCTTCCCTGAACCTTTCTTGACATAAGAAAAAAAGAAACAAAATATCCCCCCTCTAGTGGTCGAAGGCAGAATAGCAGCTTCCCATTAGTTTCTATGGACAAAAAAGAGCAGATACGGATCAAATGGTTTTCAATGCATTCCTATGGGAAATGCAGATTTGACCTGAGAACTTTTTGACTGGAGAGCTGCCTTCCAATACGGATTAAGTTCTCAAGTCAAGACCCCACTGTATTGCTGTGCTAGTGCTTATTGTGTAGTATGGTTGCATATGGTACATAACATGTGTACTATGGCTGCAGACAATATTCCTATTGAATACTATTTGTAACATAAATAGTAAAGATGCCACAATCACTTCTTCCATTACTGCACCCTTGTGAGATCCTTAATAGTATCAAATATCAACTCACAATATATCTTAAGTCATTCTCTATCCCATACCAATATATCTGTTCAGGAAAAGAGATATTTAACAACTCTTACTCCAATATTAGTACAGTACGTACTTCCAAGCTGTTTCTGAGGATTCCAGAAACACCCCAAGTACTATATACAGTAATCTGTTTACAGCCTATCCAGAAGTCAAATGTTCAAAACTCTAAAAACAGAATTGGAAAGGGTTTTATGTGATTAGTTAAATGCAGGGATGGGGTGGGGTCTTGAAACAAAACAGATGCTGCACGTGATGAAAAAATTACCACATTGTGCAAACACGCTTCTCTAGTCAGACCCAGACCAAGAAGAAAATCTAGGACTCTTAACAGCCAACATGCACCATCCTAAGTACAATAAAAACACTGCCTGATTCCTATGGTACGGGGGGGGGTAGTCCATAGACACTGCCATCTACATCAGTGGTCCTCAACCTTGCACTACAACTCCCAGAAATCCTGGCCAGCAGAGGTGGTTGTGAAGGCTTCTGGGAGTTGTAGTCCAAGAACATCTGGAGGCCCAAGGTTGGGGACCACTGATCTACATGACACTCTCCAGTGGTACACAACAGTAAAAGAGAATAGTAACAAACCTTCACAAAATAACTGGACATGAAAATCACCTCATGTTTCTGGTGCCTTCTTTTAGGGACCCACCTTTGCAGAGCAAGCAGAAGGTGAAAAGGGCATAGCTTGTTCCAAAAATAATTCTAAAATCCAGATTAAGGGAATGCCGGGTGTCCACATTCTAAGGACTGCAGGTTCTTAACAAAGCATGATACTGATGTTCCATCACAGAAAGTATTTCCATTCCTAAGGAGCTGATATTAAATATCAAGAAAGCTGATGAGAAATACCCATGTAAATATAATCCTTTAAGAAGTCACAGAACAATGTACAGTACTATCAACATCTTTAGGCATGACCTTTAGGTACAGTGTGGAATCAAACATATCTTTCCAGTTTGTTGGCATTGGCTATTTAAAATTTCAGGCAAATATTCAGAGAATATTTTCAGCAGATGTTGATTTACACTGACAGCCTGTTGCAATGACAGGAGGGAGATGCTACCTTCTACTTCTCTATAAACATCATTATGAAAGAGGCAGCAACTCTCTGCCATGTGAAATCTGTAATTGTAGGCACAGCTCATGTCTAAAACAGTCCCAGCAATTAGCTGCAAAATCTGGGTGCCATATTAAACTGGGTTGAAGAACCTTTACAAATACTTTGGACCTCAGCTCTCAAGTCAGTAATGACTGATGGTAAGGCACTATAGGAGTTGTAGTCCAAAACATTTAAAAGGGTAAAAGATCACTGGAGATGCCTTACCACAAGAACAGTTTGCACTTACACAACAGTCACAACAGCAGGAGCAGTATGGGACACGTACCACAGCCAACACTGGCATATGTCTAGGTCCAGCAGGCAAGTAAAGACTACAGAGGAGATGCAGTCAATATTCAGGGGACTGCCAGCAAACAACAACTTTGCCATGTTCTCCAGGCTGCACAGCCCTGCATGACTAAGCAAACAGAACCCACCAAACGGAATCAACAGCGTCCAATAACAGGAATAGATCAGCAACTGGCATTAGGAAATGACACCCTAGGAAGAGAAGAGAAGGGGCCGATCTGCGAAGGGAGACCCGGCCTGAGCATTTCGCTTTCTCCGGGACCTTTCAGGGGTGTGTGCCTGCAGAAAAGGGGCAGGTGACCTCCTGGGTGGAAAGGCTTTACTGTCACAACCATGTGCCGCCCTCCGTCTCGATGGCCGCCAGGCTAGCCACCGGCAGCCCCGGATTTGGCTTCCGAGGAGCGGCACGCTGGCTAAGGAGTGGAGCGTCCACGGGGCACCTCCGGAGGGCACCGAGCGGGGAAAGGCTGCTAACCCTTTCCAGCCGTGGCAGCCTCGCTGGGCCTGGACGGGCAGCTTCCAGGTGGGCGCCCCAGGAGAGGAGGAGGAGGAGGAGGAGCAGGAAGGAAGGGGGGCGACGCATCCCCGAGCCGGGCTGCGCGGGGGGAAAAGGCGGCCACCAAGCGTCTCCTCCCCCCCCCTCGGCGGAGTCCTTCTTACCTTGCCGGTAGTAGAGGCCGGTGACGGTGTTCCCGTAGACCCGCCAGGCCACCTGGATGCCAAGCAAGCTCACCAGCAGCCAGACCAAAAGGACCTGGAAGAGGGCGGCCCGTAAGTCCTGGGCCTCCCAGTCCGACATGAACTCCTGCCCGAGCCAGGTGAGAGCCCGCAGCAGCCGCGTAGGAGCCTCCAGCTCCTCCGACCCGGCCGCGGTTTCCTCGGCAGCCACCCCCGCCGCCATCCGCCTTGTGACCGGCGCCCGCGCAAGGGCGCTGCTGCAAGAGGAGAGAGCGAGAGAGACGCTCGCCTGCGCCACACAAACCCCCGGGGAAAACTGTCACCGGCGCCGCAATGCGCATGCGCCCAAGGAGGGCGGGCAGGCCCCGCCTCCCGTTGCTGTTTACAAAACCCGGGCTTTGCTCTGCAGCGCGTCGCCTTTTGGGCTGGTTGGTTTGAGGGAGGAGGAGGAGGAGGAGGAGGAGGAGGCGTCGTCCTCGCCGCGTCTCCTTTGGCAGCTGATTTCACATCGAAGTAGAGGAAACGGCTTTGCCTTACGCATTATTCTTGTTGGCTTATAACGGTTTTTTAATATCTCGCCACCTTTTTGGCTGCATTTATTTTATTTATTTATTTATTTGATTTGTCTCCCGCCATCTGGTCTGTTCGACCACTCTGAGCGGCATACTGAAGAAGGATAAATGAGGGAAGCTGTTAACTCCCGCAGTACCGTTTTCCTTCAGCATGCTTTGTTCCAAGGGCGGGGGGGGCGGGAACATATTCTGCAAGCCAATGGGTCCGTTCCTTCCCGAGAACGTTATGGAGAGTTTATTGAGTTGGCATTTTTCTCAATGTTTCTGATGAGGTGTGCAAATAATCCCTTGTTTCAAAATATCGCTCGGTGGGAGAAGGACAAGCCGAAGTTTCTTGCCGGCCCGTCCGCGCCCTCCCCGCTTGATTTGGTCAGAACCATGGCAGGAAAACAGAATCCAACGGAGACACGCAGCCGCTGCCTCCCTCAGCCAGGTTGCCTCCTCCCGATATCATTTTCTGTGGGTGTTTTCCCGGGGTCTGGATGGCCCACCCGCGACCCTCTGGCACCACTGGAGTCAAATATGAACACAAGCATGCCAAGGCACTTGGGCGTCTCAAACCACAGCAAGGCAAACGTGGGTGGGCATCAACTCCGAGACCTCAGTCTCCAGTTAGAGACGAGAGAAGACCCTCTGAAGTCGGTGGGCTGGGCAGACACGAGTCACGTCCGACGGATTTCGAGGGGTCTGCTCTCTTTCCGACTAACCTCCGATTCCACCCCAAACGCCTGAGCAAAATTGCTGCAAAGGAGGGGCGCTTCTCGCAGGTTCCTCGGCAAGTCCGGGGCTTGCCAGTTTCACTTTCGTTCCTGAGAGAAAACCAATTACTGTAACTTCCCTCGGCTCCTTAATCTCGTTGTCTCAACCCGGGAGGCGCCGCGCTGTTGCTCTCGCGTTAGAGTCCTGCGTCCAGGTAAGCCTTTAATT